CCTCCCGGCCGGGGTGGCTTGTGTGCGGGGTAGTGGAGCTCCCCTCAACGCGGCACTTTCTCCCCTTGCAGAGGAGGAGCAGCAGAGGCTCGTRCACCCCTGCCAGGATGGCACCCATGGGTGCCACCCTGTTGCCCGCTGCCAGCCCGGTTTGGGGACCGACTATGTGTGCGAGTGTCCAGCTGGCTATGGTGGTGACGGCCGGCGCTGTGACGGTGAGTTGGCTGTGCTGGCTGTGGCAAGTGCCACCCAATGGGTATAATGGTCCCCGCGAGCACAATGGGTGCAGTGGGTACAATGGGCAGGTCGTGGGTGCATGATGGACAGGCATTGCATGCAATGGGGGTGCAGTGGGTGCAAGGGGCATGCACTGAGTGTGCAATGGGCGTGCAATGGGCACACAATGCACATGCATTGGGTGCAATGGGCATGTAGTGGGTGCACGATGGATGTGTATTGGATGCAATAGGGGTGCAAGGGGCATACACTCAGTGTGCAATGGGTGTGCAATGCGTGCAATGGGCATCCAATGGACACGCATTGAGTGCAATGGGAGCACAATGGGTGCAATGAGCATGCAATGGGTGTAACGGGTACCTAGTGGATGCAGTGGGTGAATGAATGTGCATTGGGTGTGAGGGGGTGCAAAGGCCTGCAGTGGGTGCAATGGATGCAGTGGGCGCACAAGGGGCTTATAATAGGTGCAATGGCTGCAGTGGGTGCTCAGGGTGTATGCAATGAGTGCAATGGGCCACAGGGACCCCAAACAGCGCAGCATGAGGGGTTGCTCCACATCTCCGCGCTTCCTTGCAGACGTGGACGAGTGCACCGCCAGCCCCTGTCACCCAGCGGCCACCTGCACCAACAGCCCCGGCTCCTTCTCCTGCCGCTGCGCGCCCGGCTACGAGGGCGACGGCTTCCGCTGCACGCCGGGTACCGCACTCCTTTTTGCTCCATTTCGGTGTTTCCCCCCATTCCCCGCGCCCCGGGGCACCCCCGCTCTGGGTGCCCCCCGCAAAGCCGGCGGTGACGGCGGCGCCCCGCACGCAGAGCCCACGGAGCGGGCGCGGACGCTGTGCGAGCGCTGGCGGCAGAGCCTGCTGGAGCACTACGGCGGCAGCGCCCGCGGCGACCAGTACGTGCCGCAGTGCGAGCCCCACGGCGCCTTCGCGCCCCGCCAGTGCCACGGCGACAGCGGCTACTGCTGGTGCGTGGACGAGAGCGGCCGCGAGGTGCAGGGCACCCGCTCGCAGCCCGGCAGCCCCCCGCCATGTAAGAGCGCGCGCGGGGCACGGTCCCCATGTGGGCACGGGGGGGTTGGCGTGGGGCTGGCATGTGCACAGGGTCCCGCGCTCTGCGCATGCTTGTGCATGCATGCGTGTGCATGCACTCTCTGCAGCGCGCGTGCATCCCAGTTCTGTGCACACATGTAAGTGTGCGCGCGTGTCCCTGCTCCGCTGAGCATGTGCTCTATTCCCTGCTCTCTACAGCACGCGTGTGTCCCGGTTCTCTGTGCATGTGTGAGCGTGCACGCGTCTCCCTGCTCTCTGCAGTGCACACATGTCCCTGCTCTGTGTGAGCATGTACTCTATTCCCTGCTCTCTGCAGTGCCCGTGCATCCCAGTTCTCTGCACATGTGTGAGCGTGCATGCATGTCCCTGCTCCGTGTGAGCATGTACACTACTCCCTGCTCTCTGCAGTGCCCGTGCATCCCAGCTCCCTGCACACACATGAGCTTGCACGCGTGTCCTGCTCTCTGCAGTGCACCCCATCCCTGCTCTCTGCATGTGCATTCATGTGCATGTGTCTGCTCTGCAATGCACACGCATCCTGGCTCTCTGCACACACGTGAGCGTGCATGCACCTCCTCGCTCTGCAATGCCCATGTGTGCCAGCTCCCTGTGCATGGGTGAGCGTGCATGCACATCCCTGCTGTCTGCAATGCACAAACCTCCTGCCTCTCTGCAACTTGTGAGCATGCACACGCACCTCACCTCTTTGCACGTGCAGCACGCGTCCTCACTGTGTGCAACGCGCACGCATCCCAGCTCCCTGCACACACGGAGCGTCCGTGGGTGCCCGTGACCTCTGCAACGCGCCTGCACCCTGTCCCTCTGCAGGGACCCGTATCCCCCCTCCATGCACGGGAGAACCCACCCGTGCAGCCCCTCTCCCCTCCGCTCTCCCCTGGCGCAGGTGTGCCCAGCGCCGCGCCGCCCAGCGCCCGGCCCTCGCCGCGGCCCGACGTGTCGCCACCGCCCGCCGGCACCTTCCTGCTCTACGCGCAGGGACAGCAGATCGGCTACCTGCCGCTCAATGGCACGCGGCTGCGCAAGGAGGCGGCCCGGACGCTGCTCTCGCTGCACGTACCGTATCCGCCGGGGCGGCTGGGCGCACGGGTGGCCCCGCGGAGCCGCCCGCACGGCCGGACCGTCCTCTCCCTCGGTGCCGCAGGGCTCCATCGTGGTGGGCATCGACTACGACTGCCGCGAGAAGACGCTCTACTGGACCGATGTGGCCGGGCGCAGCATCAGCCGGGCGAGCCTGGAGGCGGGCGCCGAGCCGGAGCCGGTCATCAGCTCGGGTGGGTCCCCAAACTTGGCTTGCGGCGGGTTCCTGCGCCCGCCGCGGCCACCCCGTCGGCGCTGCTGACGTCCCCGCGCCGCGCGCAGGGCTGCTGAGCCCCGAGGGGCTGGCTGTGGACCACCTGCGCCGCGCCGTGTTCTGGACCGACAGCGGCCTCGACAGGATCGAGCGCGCGCGGCTCGACGGCTCCGAGCGCCGCGTGCTCTTCGACAGCGAGCTCGTCAACCCGCGCGCCATCGCCGTGGACCCCGTGCGCGGGTGAGCGGCACGGCGCCGTTCCGGGGCCTTTCCCTCCTCCCGTTATCCCGTGGATCACATTTACACACGCGCTGTGGTTGGTGCTGTTGTGGTGCAAAACGTGCTCGCCTGGGAACTCCAGTTTGGGGCATAAATGCATCTGAGATCCTTCGGTTTAGAGCTTTCCAAGGCAAATTAAGAGCTTTTCCCAGCCCCGCCAAGGGAAACGCAGGCGGCCTCTCCTGCTAGGAGCCCTCACCCTGTCCCCAGACCTCGGTCTGAGCCCCCTGCGTGTCCCTTCCCCAATCACCCCTCCCAGGAACCTTTACTGGACCGACTGGAACCGCGAAGCACCCAAAATCGAAACCTCCACGGTGACGGGCGCCAACCGGCGCGTGCTGGTGGACAAGGACATCGGGCTGCCCAACGGGCTCACGTTCGACCCCTTCTCCAAGCTGCTCTGTTGGGCAGACGCAGGTAACGTCCCCTGGGAGCCCCCGCAGCGGGAACGTGCCGCGAGAAGACATCCCAATGTACATATATATATATTTATTGTGTCTTCGGGAAGGAACGAAGCACCTGGAGTGCGCGCTCCCCGACGGAACAGGCCGGCACGTGGTGCAGAGCAACCTCAACTACCCGTTCAGCATCGTGAGCTACGCGGATCACTTCTACCACACGGACTGGCGCCGGTGAGGAGCCGGGATCCGCTCCCACGTCCCGCTTCCCACGGGGCCAAGGGATGCACCCCGTCCTGCTCCAGCTGGAAGCTCCCTGAATACCCATCCTAGAATTCCCATCCCAGAATTCCCGGATTGCGGGAAACACGGGAGCTCCAGCCTCACCGTGGGATAGTGGCTCCTCGGAAGCGCTGGCCGCACAATCCTGCCTTCCCCACCGGAGCAACGTGCCGAGTGATCCGGGGCGCATTCCCCTCCTCAAAGTCTTGGAGATGGAAAATGTTGAGACTAGAGCAGTTTAGTTGCCTAAATGCAGAGAGACAGGGAAAAATAAACGTGTTCCACAGCTGATTTAAGCCCTTTTCCCTCTTTATCCACAGGGATGGGGTGATAGCCGTCAATAAAGACACGGGCTCCTTTACGGATGAGTATCTCCCAGAGCAGCGATCCCATCTGTACGGAATAACTGCAGTTTATCCCTATTGCCCTGGAGGTAAAAACATTAATTRCTTATTATTTTTATTGCCTGAACCTGTTATGTGATTAACGTGCGAAAAATCCACCAATTTCTCTCTGCAGCAAGAAAATAGTAACTACTACTACAAGCAACAACGATCTCTATAACCAGAAGAACGTGAGACCCAGAAAATTCTCCCTGCATAGAGCTAAGGGGAAAAACCCTTAACGAAGGCCAACSAAGTGACCTACTTTCCTGCAAATGATTATCAGCTATTTTTGAAGTTATACCTCAAGTCTGTACTACTGTATTTTTTTTTTAAATGAAAAGCATTGATATATTACAGAAAATGGTCCTGGGAATCTTAGGCCATCGCTCTAACTTTTGCTTATGCAAGCAAATTTAAAACATAGCTGTCTTGATGAAATGGTTGACTTTATCGGAAGAAAAGTGGCTTAATTTTTTAAAGCTTGACAATCTGACCAACTGGTCTTTTTTAACCAAAAAAAAAGAGCATATGGAAAGCTTTGGGTGCAGTATCATGCTGGGTCTGAATAATCCACAGCCCTGAAGACAGAGACTGTATGTGCAGAAGCACGCAGAACAGTTACGTGACATGGCAAAAATATCATTTTTTTCCAGAAGACAACTCAGTATTTTCAGCACTGCCTCAATGCATGTCTTTTAGTATTTATATTAGAAGAATAAGCTAGAATTAATCTGTTCATGCTTGCCTTTTTAAGTGCCTGCATAGACCTACCCACTGTAGACCAATACATGTTCAGCAGTACCATTTAAGTTGTAATGCTTCACTTTTTTTTTTTCTAGCTTCCTCCAATAATTAAATAAAATGGTGGTTTTCAGTTTCCCTCTGGATCTAATTGTGGATACTTTGGTTGGAGGGGAGGCTGTGGAGAAGCGGCAAGGAAGCCAGCACGGAGCAGTCCACATGGCAGCACTACAGCAAAGAGGAATCCRCACGGCCTTTACAGAACACTCCCTCTTCGACACAAAGCCAAGCACAATGAAGAAGAACAACTGCATTTGCCAACTTAGAGCTAATCAGAACAATTTGTCTCCGTTTCCCCAACTTTTATTTAAAGAAAAATGGCAGCTCGTTAGAACAGTCAGAATTTAATTTCCTGTTTTCTTTCAAAACAGCAAAATATCCATTTCAAACTGCATGCCAGGGTCGTACATCGCTCCTCCTAACTGTATTAAGTAGACAAACAGACTGARATGTTAGTCTCTTCATCTTCCCACTTTCCCCAGTCTGTGGTCCGTCTTGGGATCAGCAATAATCGCCTGCACTGCTACAATCGCTTCGTTAATTTTTGTCTGCAGCTCTCGGAGTTCCTCTATATGGAGCAGTCGCAGGATTTGGGCAGCTTCGTTGAGCACAGCATCTAGGAGAGGCGCCAAAAGCAGCAGTATAAAACATTTCCATCTGATACACGCGTGTCTTAAGCTGAACCTAAGCTCCTGCTCTGTCCTTCGCTCCCGCTTGTGCCTTTCACACCTGAAATGGGAGATCTGCTCTCCACGTTGCCAGAGGTGCAGGGTGCTCSGTGCAAAATCGCGCTCAGCTTTGAGCTTGCAACAAGCCACAGCCAAGGCCGCTCAGCATGAAGCGTAATTTAATTGTACAAAGAGCAGGAGGGAAGTATAGATGAGTCCCAAATCATCTGACTCCTTATGAAAYAACCCATCAGGTCACGCCAAAGGCTGCTGCCTCTAATTGGGTTTAGGTTATGGGTTCGATCTAAAGCACGGAGGCAGCAGGCCGGTCCAGGTTCGTGCCCGGCTGCAGCAGGAACGTGCTCTCCTCCCGCACGCAACGGCGGCTGCCTTTAGAAGGGGTCGTTTGAACGTCACCCTGAAACCATTTATTGCACAGCTGAGACCTGTGCTCCCGCACGCGATGCTCCGGGGTGCCCGCGGGCAGCGGGCTGAGCGGGAGCCCTTCGGGAAGAACTGCCCTTCTGCCGGGCACGTTCTCTGCGCATTTGCGCTTTGTCAAAGGCAAGCRGCATATTTAAAAGGAGTATTTCGAGAACTACCTACCTCCGGTGTCAAAACCAAGAATGTGCTTTTCTAAAGCAACAGGCAAACCCTTTAAAAAGGAAGAGGAAAAAAAACATGTTACAAAATGGCATTTCTAAATACATTTGTTGTTTGGAAAAATGAAATCCAAACTACACTTCAGTTTTGTTTACAAGGATGCAACTGACATCAAAAAAGCATCACGACACAAGGATGACCTGAAACATCAAACCACCAGGCTATTAACTATTAACAAAGACTCTTCACAGCCTATTAGCAAATCACATAGTCAGCTTTTATCCTTAATGATACTCCCCCTGCTTCTCCAGTGAATCYCACTGAATACACGCAGCCTTAAAAGGCTGCGGAGAGCACGGCGGGAGCACCCAAAGCGGCATCATCTCCACCCGGAGCAAACAAAAAGCAACACAGATTGGGCTTTCTTCGAAACCCAAACCAGCTGCCAGATTTCAAGCACTCACTGCTTTCAAAACAAAGCTGTAAAAACTCCATCAGGCAGCATCTCCAGCACTGAACTTGCAGCTTCCTTTAGTTTCCCTGGAGCATCATGCCCAGTGTTAAGCCCAGGAATAAATACTGCGTGTCCAAACTTGAAAACATGCTCCGAGACAGTGTCAGTAAGAGTTTTATTGGTGGTTATTTGGAAGCGCTGCTCTGTTTCCTCGGCCTTAGCTGCTTTTTGGTGCACATTTTCCTGCCTGCTCCCTCTGGCGGAGGCTCTTCCCGATGGATTTGCGAGCACAAGGCCCCACGGCCGGCTGCACTCACCAAGCAGCTCCACAGCAGCACAGCAATCAAGAGCACCTTTAAATCTCCTTTACTGTGTGGTCAAGCTCATTTCACGGCCTCAAGCTCACAGGAGCTTGGATTTAAAGCTTGCTGGGTGACCACAACCTGCACCCATGGGCAACTTGCTTATTTTTACAACCTAGTTCTACAAGTTTATCTAGATTCTAGYGTTTTGGAAAGGTTCAAATTGTGCTTTTAAGCCTGCCTTGGCTTTAGCCTTCAGAAGTTCTAGTCCATCCTCTCAAAGCCACATGGACAGGCCTTTCTAGGGGCCTTTGCTGTGCTTGATCCTACCCAAGATACAGTCCCCAGGCAAGAAAAGCCCAGGACAGGCTGGCAGAGCTGAAAAATCCTGAGATCTGGAGGTCAGGAGGGGAAGGAAAGAGGCTGCGCAGCTTCCAGGGCACTCCTCACCAGCACAGCAATAAAGGGATGAATTATGAAAAGATGTGAAGAGGCCAAAAGCTGGAAATACTTTGAATTATTTGAGCTCAGACAAGTACTTCCTTTAAATCGCGTGCTACTCTTAGAGAACGGTTCCAATATAAAGCTCTCATAAAACAGCAACACGGTGCACTTCCATAAAACCTGCCTGCCTGCGTGCCTTTAATAGATAGCTCGGCACTAAGCACCGTATAAATGATGGAAAATGGAAAACCACCGTTCCAGAAGCCTGTCAGTATAAACCTGAATCCTGTCTAAACGTTGAACATATTGAATTGTCACTCATTCAACATAAAACCTAAAAAAAGGAAACATTTCCGAGTGTCTTATCTTGAAGAYTCTATCTTAACAGCCCAACAAGACAAAACTTGTCTTATTCAAGTRTTTTGAAAACCCCAGCACGGCAGCATAGTCCTCATACCTGTCCTTCAGCCAGGGCAGGGTGCTGGGAGACCCATTTCCAYGGGCATCGTATCTTTTAGCCCCTTGTACCTCCATATGGCCAAGAAGGTAACTCATGACACTTGGTACATTTAGCCTCATSTGTGACACACAAGTCAAAGGTTATCGACTGTTTCAGGGACAAGGCTTAATATACACCAAGGGTCCTAGCTTGTATTCTGGCCATTAAGAAGCCAGCTAGAAGAAGTCTACTTCCCCTATCCTTCTATGCAACTATCCTTTCTCCTTGGAGATTTCTTCATTTACCATGATGCTATTCACTACTACTGCTCTTTTTTTTATATTTATAGAAACATTACTGAAAATCCCACCACTCTTTCAGAAGTCATTTGCTGTCCTGGATCCCTAGTTTGCAAAGCCACTAGGATGAGCAAGGGTTCCATGAAGACAGATGAAGCTCTGTCCCTGCCTTTTCTCCATCTCAGATGAAATTCAGCATTTGGAACAGGAGTACAATCCCAAAAATGTAGCATATTCAATGACTGCTCAACCTAAAATCTTGAGAAGGGATCAAATGACACCCACAAATCCATGGGCCCTGAYGGGATGCACCCCAGAGTGCTGCATGAGCTGGGGATGTTATAGCTAAGTCGCTCTCCATCATCTTCAAAAGGTCCTGGAGAACACGGGAGGTGGCCGAGGACTGGAAGAAAGCCAGTGTCACATGAGTCTTCAAAAAGAGCAAGAAGGAGGATCCAGGCAACCACAGGCCGGTGAGCATCACCCCCATCCCTGGGAAAGTCACRGAACAGCTCACCCTGGTTGCTGTCTCCAAGCACGTGGAGGACAAGAAGGTGCTCAGGAACAGTCAGCATGAGAAATCATGCTTGACTAACATCTTCTAGGATGGAATGACTAGCTGGAGAGATGAGGGGAGAGTGGTGGATGTCACCTATCTGGACTTCAACAAGGCTTTTGACACCATCCCTCATAGCATCCTTCCAGGCAAACTCCGGAGGTGTGGGATAGATGAGTGGACAGTGAGGTRGATCGAGAACTGGCTGCGTGGCAGAGCTCAGAGGGTGGTGATCAGTGGCACTGAGTCCAGTTGGAGGCCTGGGTTAGCGGTKTCCCCCAGGGGTCGGTCCTCGTTCTGGTCCTGTTCAACTTACTYATCAACAACCTGGATGAAGGGCYGGAGTGCTCCCTCAGCAGGTTTGCTGATGATACCAAACTGGGAGAATTGGCTGATACCCCAGAGGACTGCACTGCCATCCAGAGGGACCTGGACAAACTGGACAACTGAGCAGTGAGAAACCTCATGAAGTTCAACAAAGGCAAGTGCAGGGTCCTGCACCTGGGGAGGAATAACCCTGGACACCAGGACAGGCTGGGGACYGACCTGCTGGAGAGCAGCCCTGCAGAGAGGGACCTGGGCATCGTGGTGGATGACAAGATGACCACGAGGCAGCAGTGTGCCCTGGTGGCCAAGAAGGCCAACGGGATCCTGGGGTGCATTAAGAGAAGCGTCTCCAGCAGGTCGAGGGAGGTGATCATCTCCCTATACACAGCTCTGGTGAGGCCACATCTGGAGACTGTGTCCAGTTCTGGGCTCCCCAGTACAAGAGGGATGTGGAGCTGCTGGAGAGAGTCCAGCGCAGGGCTACSAGGATGATCAGGGGCCTGGAACATCTGTCCTAGGAGCAAAGGCTGAGGGAGCTGGGCCTGTTCAGCCTGGAGAAGAGGAGGCTGAGGGGGGACCTGAGCAGTGTCTGTAGACACCTCAAGGGAGGGAGTGAGGAGGAGGGGGCGGCCTCTTTGCAGTGGTGGGCAGCGAAAGGACTAGAGGAAACAGCCACAAACTGAGGCACCAAAAGTTCCACAGGAACTTAAGGAAAGATTTCTTGACAGGGATGGTACCAGAGCCCTGGCCCAGGCTGCCCAGAGAGGCTGGGGAGGCTCCTCTCTGGAGATCTTCCCAACCCGCCTGGACGCAGCCTGTGCCCCGTGCTCTGGGTGACCCTGCGTGTGCAGRGGGTTGGACTAGATCACCTCTAAAGGTCTCTTCCAACCTTGAGGATTCTACAAAATAAGAAAAAAGCTTTGTCACAAAAATCACTAC